TCCTAGCTCCAGCCACTACCCATCTGGCAAGCTTCTCACTAGGAAGACTGGGGTGCGAGCTGATGAGGGGGTTGCATCAGGGTCCCTGGAGGAGGAAGCAATCCTGGAAACACAGAGCACATCACCACAAGGCTGCAGTGAGTCTCTGCCTGGTGGAGTCCTGAAAGCCTGAATCAGGTGGCCTGACCCTCAGGCCATAATGGGGTGGAGTACATTCTGGGGTCCAAGTTGTGCAGCTTCTGTTGCCACCATGCCTAAGAAAAATTAAGCAAAAACAAACAAACAAAAACAGTTCCTGCCCCTCCCTTGCCCATCTGCACAACCAAAAACCTCTCATGGAAAAGGGTGACTTCCTTTTCCTTTCCCAAGAAGGCCCTTTGAAAGAAACCACTTATTGTAAATGGCCCAATTTATTATTATTATCATTATTATTATTATTTTAGTTGGCTACAAAGACAGTGTGAGATCTCACACTGTGACTACCTCTTTGGTAGAAGGGCTTGGATACAGACAGCAGGGCTTGGTGGTGATGGTGCGGGGCATTTGTCCTTTTTTTTTTTCTTTTTTTCTTTTAAAGAAGAAAACAAAGAGGTTGGTTGGGTGGGGTGAAATGAGGTGGGAGTTTTCTAGAAGCTTCCTTAAAATAAAATCCACCCAACCCTATCCGTGGAAAACAAATAAAAAATTCTAACAATGGTAAGACCCTAACAAAAAACAACAAAAAAGGGTCATGTATATAAAAGATCCTTTTTAGGAAAAGGCAAGGGGTGGAATTTTCCTGATCAATGACTTAAAATATATTTTTATTTTGAGTTTTGTCCTTTGTGTTCTATGGAATGAAATGTTCCACCTTTTTATTGCATGAAACTAAAATTGGGTAAGGTGGGGGAGTGGAGAGGGCACTGTGGATGGGGAGCAGAAGTGCCCCTCCCCCACCTCCTGGGCAATGACACATCACTTCTTCTTGCAAAAGTTCGGGCATCTCTGTGCCTGCAATTCTGGCTTTCTCCGCATCTTGGAGAACAGGTGGGGTCACACATTCATAGTCATGTGGTTCATGAAGGAGTGGAGGTAGTTCCCTCCTCCTCTGGAGGATGGCTAAGGCCTCTTACCTTGTTAGTAGGGATTTTTGGAAGTGCACCTATGTCACCGGACCCTAAGGATCTGTTCCTGTGGTGTAGCCCCATGCTGCCCATCCTCCCATGGGGACATAGGAGCATGGACCCATGGGGGAGTTGGTCCAGCTGCTTCCAGGCAGCACAGGATTCATGGTTGTGTAGGTGTCGCTAGAATTTGTTGAATCTGCAGAACTAGGCATGACTGGTGTTCCTGGGGTGCCCACCGCCAGGAGGTCCCCCTTAGGTGCCAAGTGATGAGGGGGAGTATGGAACCAGTCAGCTCTGTTAGGATTGGACCCATGTTCATCCTTGGTGTGGCGGCGCAGGGAGCAGGCGGTGGTCTCTGGCCGCTGCCCTAGTTCTGTGGGCGGGACCCATCGGCCCCCTGCCTATGGAGGGTTCATCCACTGCATTGTCCTCCATGTTGGGGCCCCCTGGTCCTGTGGGGACCATGGGGGTGGGCAGCTGAGGCTGTGTTCTAGAAACTCCTCAGGAGGCTGGTTTCCCATTCTGATTGGGGCCTGGGGCCGCCTGCGTATCTGGTGACATAAAAGGCTGACGTTGCAGCCCCTCATGCCACTGGGATTGTGGGGTGGAGGCTGTGCTTGCAGCGAGGGCTGTGGCCCCCTAGGACCTTGACAGAAACCCAGCAGATGGGGCCTCAGACCTCCCATCAGGGGGGCAGTGCCAAGCCCCGGGCTGGGGCAGCTGCTGAGCTGTGGTCATGAACGGCTTCTGCTCCACTGGACCGTGAGCAAGCTTCTCCCAGGAGCCGCACAGAAAGGCCCAGTGCGCACACCGCCAGCGCACAACCTGGAGGTTCCCCAAGAAATGCTGTTCCGTTGGATCTCGGACCAAAAGGTCTGAGCAGATCCCGCTCCTACGCGCAGTAGATATTCATAGACGCATAAGCTGACCTAAACTTCACAAATGCAAAAACCACCCTACCCCTCGCTTCCTCCGGTTCACCACACACTCCTTGTGACCTCTCTGCCCAGCTCCGAGGGTCTGAAACTCAGTGCTGGACTCTGGATGCTTGATGAGCTCTAGAGAGGGCAGCGAGGCGCTGCCCTCTCTATCCCCCCAAAACAACTGTTCCCCAAGCCTAGCGCCTGTGAGAGCACATGAGCAGCAGGAGGCCGAGGAAAGGAGAGGGAGAGCGACATATGTCCTTTCTGATGAGTGTCGAGGTTTCTTAGGATGTATTCCTAGAAGTAGGGTCACTGGCCACACGGGAGTTCATTTCTAATTTTTTAAGAAACCTCCATATGTTTTCAGTATAATTGCACCAGTCTGCATTTCTAATGAAGGAAATAAACTGATGAACAAAAACAGACCCAGAGACATAGAAGCAGGAACAGACTATGGAATGTCAGAGGGAAGGCAGGGGAGGGTGGTTGGGAAGAGATCAACCTATGAACTTTATGCAAAGATGTCTAATTCCTGGACACAGACAATGGGGTGGAGAGTGTGGAGGAGGGGAATGGGAGTGGGCTGGAAGAGTTAATGGGGGGAAAGGGGAACCTGTGTAATACTTTTAACAATAAAGATGTTAATAGAGAGATAGTGAGAGCAAACCTTGTAAAGGATCATGTCTTCCATTCCCCGCCTAGCTCTCTCAGTCCTCCCTGTCACCTTCCTCACCTTCCTTCCTGAATTACAAATGCACAAATGCAGCTTCAAATGGTTATTCTTCGTGCATTTGAGGTCTTGTTGCCCAACAGTTGTCATCAGTTTGGCTCCAAAAAAGTCTTATAATATATTCTCTCCATTTCTGCACATTTCTTACATCAACATATTAACTTTTTTTCATTTAAGACATCCACTCATATATGTTTATTCCTCATGTGCAGAGGAAAGGGCACACAGTTATTAAAAACCTGCCAACTTGCCAGGATGAGTTCTAAAGAGTTCACATCTTTTGATGCACTGGCTAATGGTCCAACCACTGAGCCACATCAGCCAGGGTTCCATTTTAAAGGATGGAAACTCTCTCACGTTGAGAGGCTGGAAATACAGGCCTTTTGCACACGAATAACAGGGAAGTTGAGTGAAATCTGTGGTTTCGGGCATGCAGCTGTGGGCTTGTGACAGGGACAGCAGGTTTGAGACGGAGGCTGTGGCCACAGGTTCCAGCTCAGCCTCTCCTCTCTCATCACTTGCACACATTCAATGTTCATTCTGATTGAAAAAGCACGTTCTCACCTGGCTGGCAGCCCACAGGTTCCTGGGAGCTCACCTGCAAGTGCAGCCCTTCTTCCCATCTGGAGCTGCCGATTATCAGGGAGAGATTCACGACTTCGCTGTGGGAAGCAGTCTGCCAGCCAGTGGAAGACCCCAGCCCTCTTCTCCCTGTCAAAGGCCCCTTTAGCACAGCCTTTGGCTACTTCCCGTGTAAGCTTTTGTCCTGTTCATTTTATTCAATACTAGAGACCTGGTACAGGAATTCTCATAGAAGTGGGGTCCCATAGGCCTTCTAGGATTGCGGCCCCTTTGGCCCAGCCAGCAGTGGGGAGGGGCCATGAGCAGTTGGCTGGCCAGCCCCACTCCTGATCAGGGTGTTGGGGGATAATTGGGGGCCAAGCCAGCTGGGTTTGGAGGGGTGATTAGATCTCAGGTCAGAGTGGTTGGTGGCCACAATGTACATCATAGTCATGGGTTGTTCTGGTCCTTCCATTCATTCCACCATTCCAGTTGCTAGGCTTTTATATATAGAGAGAAACAGCTGGCTTATGGGGGATGCATAGCAGGTTTTTATAAATGACCAGTTGCTCTCCCATATTGCCTGGAGCATTGGAATAAAGGCTCATATACAATATGATCCAACCATGTCTCTGCCTAATTGGCTCAAGTAGTGACAGGCAGCAGGGACCCATGCATTATCCTGTTACATATTCCTGTGTGTGATATGTGATTGGGGAAAATAACAAAGACAATCTGTCATCCTATATAATAAAGAGCTAATATGCAAATGGTTGTCATGCCATCATGCCATTATGCTGGTGAGAAGAAAAACCCCTATTTTGTAACAAACTGCTATTTGGAATTTTCTGCTGTTTTTCTTAGATAAAATGTTGCTTTCTAGTCTGCTCTAGCCTGTTTGAGGAATGATGAAGATAAACTTAACTGTATGACCTTGTAGGCCAGAGACTAGATATGCCCATAATTTCAATGCCATGCCAGGTGCATTTTTTTTAATTGGACAGAACTGTATTGTTTTCAAGGCCAGCATTGAAGTAATCACTAAGTGCACATAAGGCTGGCTCTTTAATAAAAAGGGAAGTTCTGCTTGTAGCCTTGCTTTGAATTTGAATTCATTTTCTCTAAGCCCATCACGCAATGAATAAAATGGGTCTCTCCAAACTCTCCTCCTGCATTGTTTGATTGTTCAGGAACTCTGTAACACTGGGGCTAGGGGACCTATGGCCACACCCCAGCTGGCATGGGGGCTTGGAGACCTGTTGCTATGCCCCCCCTGAGGCTGCAGCAGGGGACCTCAGGCCATGCCTCCCACTTGGCATTGGACCAAGGGACCTGAGACTCCCCCCATCCCCACCCTGTGAGGCTTGATGGGGGTGAGGCCGGCCGAGTCTGGGTCTCAAGTGATTTTGAAGCACATGCAAATGGGTAGAGACTTGATTCTGACAGAAGGGAGACTTTCATATACATTTTACTAATTTTCATCTCTGACACTTTTATTATAAAGAAAGGGAAGCTAGCAATATTAAAATATTTCCTCTAATTAGTTTCCTTTTAAAGTGCATGAATTTTGGGCCAATAATTATCAAATAAAAGCATCATTCCAAAGCAAATTCTTATTCCCAAACCCCAGAAAGGCAACATGGCCCACGGCGGGTGAAGGAGAGCGAGAGGAAGCCCCATCCACGTGCCTCTGGGGCAGCATCTCTGAGTCCTCATCAAAATCCAAATGTTTGAAGACTCTTAATCCTGGAAGCTTCGCCCAAAGGTATGGGATCAAAGTGACTGGTCTCAGGGAAGGAAGAAGGGTCAGGACCCTTGTCACTAGTATCCTTGAGTCCTATCCCATCTGTGGTCACTCCTAGGGTGACAAGGTCAGGCATGCAGCCCAGGCTCACGGCTGCACCCTTATATCCAGACTCCATGCAAATGGGGTGCTCCTTTTGCTCATAAAGGAGGGCCCTGCCTGGCATGTTGGGAGACACCCAGAACTGATGTGCCTGAGATAGCATCCCAGTGGCTCCACCATGGACTTGGTGCCAAGCTTTGTTTTCCTCCTGATCATTCTCCAAGGTCATTCTCAGGAATGGAGAGTGCTGAGACCTGTTCTTGGGCCTGCTTTTGCTTTCATGTGATTCTAAGTCCATCTTGTGTCTCTGTTTGCAGGTGTCCAGTGTGAGGTGAAGCTGGTGGAGTCTGGGGCAGGCTTGGTGCAGCCTGGGGGGTCTCTGAGACTATCCTGTGTAGCCTCTGGATTCACCTTCAGTAGTTACCATATGAACTGGGTCCGTCAGGCTCCAGGGAAGGGACTGGAGCGAATTTGTGCTATTACTGGTAATGGTGGTAGCACACACTATGCAGACTCTGTGAAAGGCCGATTCACCATGTCCAGGGACAATGCCAAGAACACGTTGTATCTGCAAATGAACAGCCTGAGAGCTGAGGACACAGCCATGTATTACTGTGCAAGAGACACAGTGAGGGGAAGTCAGTGTAAGCCCAGACACAAACCTCCCTGAGGAGGCAGCAGGGCTGGGCTGCAGTGGGCGCTCAGGACACCAGGGGGCGTTCATGACCAGCAAACCCAGGTCCCAGTTCAGAAGCTGTCCTTGGAAGGGTTTTGTAGGTTTCCTATTGGGATCAATGCTTTCTTCCCTCCTATTGTCCCTGTGAAAGTTCCTGCTTGCTTCCTTGTGTCTTTAATTAGATTCTCTGCAGGCAAAAAAGTAGGAAGTGGCTGTGTTTTCAGATCTGGTCGACTTCTAATATGTGCCCTTCTTCTGACCATGTCCCTGTTGGTCACTTTCTGGGTTGACAAAGAAAACATTGTAAGTATGCATGCCCTCCTCACTGAGAGGGATGTCCCCCAGCCTCCCATGTAGTGCTGAGCCGGGATCAGGGGCTCCAGGCCCCAAACCTCACCTGAGGGTCATCAGCCAGGAGGAGCCCTTTGGGGCAGTTAATCATGAGCCTTTCACTGATTTGGAATCACATGGTGTATTAGGATCATAATTTGTGGGCATTGCCACTGTGTGAACCTGGTAGAAGTGCCCAGCTCTCAGGATGTTGTGGGATGGAGGCCGGAAGCAGGCCCAGTGATGGAGCCTGTCACAGCCCTCAAAAGCCCTCTTCCCCATGAGTCTCAGAACCTGGTCCCAACACCTGTCTCTTTTTGTGGAGAATCCACTGGATCCTAGAGCCTGCTGATGAAGACATGTTCCCCACCCACCTTTGCTGTGCCTCCAGGCTCCACAGACACCATCTTATCCTCAGCCTCTTCCCCTGCCACCCACAATCTCATCCCATCGGGCCTAGGTAGGACGTACTGTGTGGCTGCACTCAGCCCTCTCCTTCCCACCTAATAGGTTTTGCCTTAAATGCACCCTCATGCCATCCCCTCATAACCATCTCCTTTGCCAGACCCTCCTTGAGACACCAGGGCCAGAGACACTCAGGTGACCTGAACCTGGACTCAGCCACCCTGATGAGCCCACGTGCAGTACTCAAGTGTTATGTCAGGCTATTGGGGCTCCACCTATGTCAGGTGGAGACACAGCTGACCACTGTCCTCAGAGCACCTTCAACATCTCACACCTGTGCTGAGGAAACCTCCAGGGGGCCATGAGCTCCAGAGAATTGTGGTGTATAAGCCCATGGCCACTGGGGTCAGAGGGCAGTCAGGAAAGAGCTGGAGCTCAGTCATCTATAATGTTGTCAGTGCCCCACTGACCAGAGCCCAGGTATACAGGAGCTCTGTGAATCCTAAAAGTGGAGGAACAGCCTGGCCAGTGTGGCTCAGGGGTTGGGCATCAACTTATGAACCAGGAGGTCATTGTTTGATTCCCAGTCAGTGCAGGCACATGCCCAGGTTGTAGGCAACATCCCCCACGTGGAGTGTGCAGGAGGCAGCCAATCAATGATTCTCTCTCATCATTGATGGTTCTGTCTCTTTCTCCCTCATCCTTCCTCTCTGATGTCAATCTATTGTAATAAAAGGGTAATATGTTAATTAGACCGGGCATCTTCCAGACATCTTCCAGGCATCTGACTTCCTTCTGGCCAGTTAGGGGTTGACCAGGCAAGCAGGGGAGCAGAAAGGGAGCAGACAGGACAGCAGGGGAGTAGTTGGCAAGGGAGCAGTTAGGGAGTGATCAGGCAGGTGGGCAGGTGAGTGTTAGGGAGCCAGCAGTTCCAGATTGCAAGAGATCCCTAATTGGAGAGAGTATGGGCCAGGCTGAGGGACTCCCCCCTGCCCCCCCGCTACCCCCCCCCATGCATTAATTTTTTGCACCAGGCTTCAAGATTGCACTAATAAAAGAGAAGTGTGAAAATTGATCATCACTCCACTATGCCCACCAGTCAATCAGAAGTGAGTACCATATGAAAATTAACCCAATAAAGATGGCAACGGCCACAAAGCTGGAGTAAGCAAAGGCTTAGGTTGCCCCTGGTAATGGAGAAAGCCAAGCTTCCCACTCGCCCTGAACACAGCTGAAGGAGGGGCTGAGACCCTGGGTGACTGGCGAGCTTGGGCAGCCTGAAAACAGCTCTCAGCCCCTTACCCAGGCTGGCCAGGCACCCCAGTGGGGTTCCCCACCCTGCATGAGGTGTGGCCAGCTCCATCCACTGAGCCAAACCGATTTCGTCATGGAGGCCAATTTTTACCTTTAAATGCTTAAGTCCCCCCACAGCATTTTCTCTACAGTTCAACGAATATTATATCTGGAACATTACTAAGATAGAAATATTTGTGGCCAAATTGAAAATAATTAATTCTGTGGTCTGGACCAAATCTTTATGTTAAAATTGGTTTAAGCTTTGATAATCTTTAAATTGGGTATATTTGGAAGCTTTATTTGAGTGTAATATTTCAAGGAATTAACTGAGAGATAACTTTGTGACATCTCAAGGGCCTTGATGTTACACAAAGATCTACTCTCTCTCTTTACAAAGAAATATTTTTTAACTAAATTAGATTAATTCAATATACTATAAATTGCTTAAGGAAACTTTTCTAAATAAAATTAATAGCAATACTATTATGTTTAGATACATATACTTTGAATATTATAAGAAGTTTCAGTCTGCTTCAGAAAATGACTTACACAAATTCACAGCCAAGTTCAAACAGGAAATTTTTAGAAATAGCACATATCCAGTAAGGGAAAAGGGGCAAGGATGATAATTCTCTGTGTCTGGCAGTGACACTCTGGTGTTTTACCTTTCATTTTTTGGGATTTATAAATTGTTTCAATGTTTTATACACCATCGGTAATAAGCAATGCAACACATGTATTTTATATGCAAAATGTTTGTTGTACTAGAAGGCTGTTGTCTCAGAATATTATAAAGTAAAGGTTTTGTCAATTGCATTTTAAACAAATTGATAACCATGTCACTTTTGAATTTTGTCATATTAGACAGTCACTGCTTTACTTTCATGCATATAAGTCTTTAGAAAACCCCATGTAAAGGATCCTGGCATACTCTAAATTGCAAGTTTCAAGAGAGGGGGGCCACATGGACTAGCTCAAGTGCTCAGGTGAAAATGGTTTGGGCCAAGGAACATGCTGGGAGTGCTGATGTCATCAAGGATAGCACTAGGATTAGGGTTAGGTTTAGGGCTAGGGTTAGCATTAGGTCTAGGATTAGGGTTAGCATTTGTGTTAGGGCTAGAGATCAAGTTCAAGTTAGGGTAAGAGTTTAGAGTAGGTTTAGGTTTAGGGTTAGGGTACAGGTAAGGGTTATACTGAATTAACATTTGAGATTGAAAATGAATGAGCTTCATTTAATGGACAAAATTGTGAGTAAAACTGAGACAGACAAGGACAGACTATGAAAATATTTAGAAATGTGCTTAATCACTAGAATACATGTTCAAATGGGTGTCACTTCTAAAGGACACCATTTTGTCCCTGGGTACTTGTGTTAAAAGAGCTGAGTATGATAATGTTATAATTTATTATTTCCATCTGTATGAGTAAACAATTGGAGAGTACAATGAATGAGCTTGAACCACTCTAAAAGATGAATCAATCTCTAGAAATTAACAATGATAACAAAGAGCCTTAATATCAATTACACAATGTTTAAATACAGGGAAATCATGTTCAAAGACCAGAGAGGCTACTTGGATACTGATTACATGTGTATTTCTGGCCATGTATTGCCATTATTGAAAGAATTTTGGTTCAGCATTTAAACTGGAAGTGCTGACATCATTCAGAGGGAGGGGCCACGTGGACAACCTCAAGTGCTCAAGTAGGAACTTTTAGAGACAGGGGACATTCTGGGAGTGTGGATGTCATCAAGGATAGGATGAGGATTAGGGTTAGGGCTAGGGTTAGCATTAGGTATAGGATTAGAGTTAGCATTTGGATTAGGGCTAGATCAAGCTCAGGTTAGGGATAGTGCTTAGGTTTAGCGTTAGGGTACAGGTAAGTGTTCAAAGAGCTGAGAAATGAGTGTGATAATGTTATCATTAATGAATGAGCTTGAACCACTAGAAAAGATGAATCAATCTCTGGAAATTAACAATGATAACCTAGGGTAATGTCTAACAACATGCTTGATACAGAAGGAATACATCAACAAAGAGCCTTAATATCAGTTACATAATGTTTAAATACAGGAAATCATGTTCAAAGACCAGAGAGGCTACTTGGATACTGATTACATATGTATTTCTGGCCAATGTACTGCCGTTTTTGAAAGAATTTTGGTTCAGCATCTAAACCGGAAGTGCTGACATCATTCAGAAGGAGGAGTCATATGGACAACCTCAAGTGTTCAAGTGAAAATGCTTTGGGTCAGGGAACATACTGGGCGTGCTAATGTCATCAAGAAAAGCACTAGGGTTAGGGTTAGGGTTGAGGCTAGGGTTAAAATTAGGTCTAGCATTATGGTAAGCATTGGGGTTAGAGCTAGAGATCAGACTGAGGATAGGGTTAGGGTTTAGAGTAGGCTTAGGTTTGGCGTTAAGGTACAGGTAAGTGTTATAGTGTGTTAACACTTGAGATTGAAAATGAATGAGCTTTATTCAATAGACTAAAATTGTGAGTAAAACTGAGACAGACAAGGACAGACTAGGAAAATATTTAGAAATGTGCTTAATCACTAGAATAAATGTTCAAATGGGTGTCACTTCTAAAGGACGCAATTTTGTCCCTGGGTACTTGTGTTCAAAGAGCTGAGAAGTGAGTGTGATAATATTTTCATTTATTTTTCCTGTCTGAATGAGTACACACTTGAACTTCATAATGAATTAGATTGAACCACTGTAAACGATGAATCAAACTCTGGAAATTAAGAATGATAACCTAGGGTTATGTCTAAGAACATGCTTGAAACAGGAGTAATAAATCTACAAAGAGCCTTAAGTCTGGCTAGAGACCCCTCCCTTCCCTCCATAGCCAAGAAGCAGATACTGGACTCCCATTGCCTGGGCAATGCCACCAGCGTGTGCTATGAATGCTGCCATTTTTGTCACGGAGTGATGGCTAATTTACATATTACTATTTTATTATATAGGATAATTAGTCCCTAGTATTCTATTTCTGCCCCTAACACTTGAATGTCGATCTATGAACCAGGAAGTCATAGTTCAATGCCAGATCAGGGCACATGCCTGGATCCCCAGTAGAAGGCATGCAGGAGGCAGCTGATCAATGATTCTCTCTCATCATTAATGTTTCTCTCTCTTTATCCCAATTATGCCCTAATTAATTGATTATCTGTTTAGACTTAGTGGGACAAACGTGGGTGACCAGGAGCCGCAATAACGGCCTATCCCTGGTATTTAAATTTTTTTTTAAATAAATCTTTATTATTTATATTATTACAAATGTTCCTTATTTTTTTCTCCATTGCTCCCCTCCACCAGGTTCCCACCCTACCTATGCCCTTTCCACACTCCATTGACCTCATCTATAGGTGCACAGTTTATGTTCAGTCTCTTCCCACACTCCCCACTCCCTTTTTTCTCCAGATTCGTCAGTTCACTCCCCTTCCATACCTCTGATTCTATTGTATTCACCAGTTACTATTGTTCATCAGATTTTTTTAATTCCCTTGATTTTTAGATTCACTTGTTGATAGTAATGTATTTGTTGTTCATAATTTTTATCTTTATTTTCTTCCTCTTCCTAAAGAACAGCCTTTAGCAATTTTGTGTGTGTGTGTGTGTGTGTGTGTGTGTGTGTGTGTGAAGCTTTTTATCTCTCCTTCTTGCTATTTATCACCTTGAATATTTCTTGCCATTCCCGTCTGGCCTGCATGGTTTCTGTTGAGAAACCAGCTGACAATTGTATGGGTGCTCCTTTATAGGTAACTACCTGCCTTGCTCTTGCTGCTTTTAATATTCTCTCTTTGTGTTTTGCTCTGGGAATTTTAATTATGATATGTCTTGGTGTGTTCCTCTTTGGATTCCTTTTGTTTGGGGTTCTGTGTGCTTCCTGGACTTGTAAGTCTAATTCTTTCACCAGGTGGGGGAAGTTTTCTGTTACTATTTCTTCCAATATGTTTTCGGTATCTTGCTCTCTCTCTTCTTTGGGGATCCCCATAATTCTGATGTTAGTTCGCTTGAAGTTGCCCCAGGGGTTTCTTACATTATCTTCAACTTTCTGGATTCTATTGTCTTCTTGCTTCTGCGGAGGAATGTCTTCTTGCTCCCCCCCCCCCCCCCCAAATCATTGACTAGAAATTTGAACTAGTTTCTTTGAACTAAAAGGGGTTTGCAGAACTCCAGGGAATTATAAAGTATATATAGCAGGTGGTAACCCCTTCCAGCATACCTGAGTAAAATATATAGATAAGTCCTAAAAATTAAGGGGTAAATTTAAGCTTAAAAGGGAAAGTTTAAAAATCTCTTCTACCAATATTCACCATTGCCCTGACCATTTTTGGCTCAGTGGATAGAGTATTAGTCTGCAGACTGAAAGGACCCAGGTTCAATTCCAGTCAAGGGCATGTACCTGGATTGTGGGCACATCCCCAATAGGAGGTGTGCAGGAAGCAGCTGATTGCTGTTTCTCTCTCATCGATGTTTCTAACTCTCTCTCCCTCTACCTTCCTCTCTGTAAACAATCAATAAAATATATAAAACAATATTCACCATTAATAAAAACTAAAAAGGTGTGCCTTTTTCCTGTAAAGTCAACTAACATGTTCCTCTCTCAGCAGGAAAGAAACCAAATTGGTTGCCCAGTGTAAAAGAAAGTAAAATATATAAGGTGTCATTTGTAAAGTTTGAAAGTAAAACAAGAGAAATTAAGATTCAGCAGATATAAATAGTTAAGCCAGTGAGAAGAAAGTTTAAAGTACTGAATTTGGCCAGAAAGAGATTTCATCCTTTCCCTAAGAATCAGGCAGAAGATAAATCCATTAAGGATGAAGGGCATATAAGGAAGGGGACTGGAACTGCTTATACTTTACTCAGATCACTGGATATTGGCCAAACCAGGGTTCTGAGTACTGTGTAAACCATCTTAAGTTCTCATCCCAGAGTAAACACCTCAGAAATTCAGGTCAGAAGATACTTAACCATCCAATTCAATGAGTACTTCAGAAACATGAGAACCATCTCAGACACTTCCAACTACCGAGAACTGTTTATGATGGAACAGAACACGGGTTTATGCACACTTCCTCCACAGATAGGGAGGCAGGAGGGTGGCTTCTGCTTGAGCTCAGGTCGTCACCATCTTGGTATGCAGTTAGTCCACCCCACAGTATTGTTTGCGATTGTACATTGGCAAGGTACCCCTCACTCCTAGTTTGAGAGTGGGGACTCCCTTCAGCCTTGGCCAAGTGGGGGATGCCCCACTGGTAAGGACTTCTTTGCAAGCACAAGGGATATAGGAAACATCCTTGTATGTTTTGTTTTCTCTCTCCTTCTTTTCTTTTAATGGGAAGCGTGCCATCCACATTATATTAAACAAAAAAACAAACAAAAACAACAATAACAACAAAAAGGAGCCCATATAAGTTTGACCTACAAACCTTAAAGAAATAGAGCCTGATTGACACTTACGTTTGTCCTCAAGTACCAACTAGAAGAATGGATTAGTAAAGCCTAACCCCAGAGAAAAGTTTTCAATAGGAAAAAATAATAGAAAGTAATGGAAGTCCTATAAGTCCAAGCTTTCTTTACTCTATGGGGACAAGCTAAAGACAGGTGGGAAACTGTAAATTTAATCCTTTGCACCTGGCAATAACAAACCAAGTCTACTGAGGAAGAAGGTGGAGGCCATGTCCCTGCCCAGGACTAAGTCAATCTTAACTTGCCATAAGATTGACTTAGTCCTGGATAAAGGGCCAGGTCATACTTTAGTCCAGCTCCTCTTCTCACACCGTGACTTGAGGAAAATTAAAAACTATTTAGAAAAGTTCTCAGAAGGGCCTGACAAATATAATGAGGTCTTCAAAAACCTCATTCAAGTATTTGATCTTTCATATAGAGACATCATGCTCATATTAAACCTGACCCTCTCAGCCACTGAAAGGCAGGGTATACTAGAAAAAGAAAGAGAATTTGAGAATGATCACCTTCTTGGTTATGCCAGGGGAATATAGAATTCTGAGGAAAGAAATAGAGATTTCTTAATAGGACAAGGAACAATTCCCTCCATAGACCCTCAATGAGATCCTAAAACAGAAAATAAAGCACTGCTAGTTTTGTATTATAGAAGGCTTCAGACAGAGTAGAACAGAGCCTGTCAACTACTCTAAATTAACCACCATTAATCAAGGGAATAATGAAAATGCCTAGGCCTCTTTGGAAGGCTTGGGGAGGCTTTTGGTTAAGCATATGAACATTACCCCCAATTCAGACTTGGGACAACTAATTTTAAAGGACAAATTTATCACTCTGGCTATCCCAGACATCAGGAGGTTACAAGAATTGGCTATTGGTCTCAAGAGTACTTTAAAAATCTCCTGAAAGTTACCACCTCTGTGTTCTATAATAAATACCAGAATGAGGAAAAAGGATAAACAGAGGAAGCCAGGCCAGAACCAAGGCTCTTTGTGCTGTAGTCTTCAGTTAGATCCCAGAGGCAGTCAGTCCCAGTCAACTGCTACAACTGTAGACAGGTTGGACTTACACACCGGAATTATTCCAAGGGGCATGGTAGACTCCTGAAGTCCTATTCTACCTGCCAAGGAGACCACTGTAAGTCAGACTTCCCCTGGAGATGGAGGTCCCTTCCCTTGGGGTGGAGCTGTCAACCAGCTGGCCCAACAGGACTGATGAGGCTCGGGGGCTCTCAATCCCGCTCCTCAGAGGACTGCCACCCCCACTTAGGAGCCCCAGGGAAGACTGACAGTGGGGGGAAAGGAAATTAATTTCTTCCCTGATGCTGGAGCCACCTTCTCTGTACTCCTCCCAAACCCTGGTAAACCATCCTCAGAGGCTGTAGCCCTTATTAGCATGTCTGGGAAGCCAAGAAAGAGATCTTTTTCTCAGCTTTTAAGGTGTAGTCTGGGTAAGTGGTTCCTTTCCCATGCCTTCCTGATCCTGCAGAAAGCCTCATACAGATCAGAGACAGTATTCTCCTAACCATGAGGCTCTAGAACAGTGGTTAACCTTTTTAATACAGTTCCTCATGTTGTGGTGACCCCCAACCATAAAATTATTTTTGTTGCTACTTCATAATTGTAATTTTGCTACTGTTAATGAACCATAATGTAAATATCTGTGTTTTCTGATGGTCTTAGGCACTACAGCAGTGATTCTAAACCTGTGGGTTGAGAACTGCTAGCAGGGTCATCTCCCTTGTCTGTCTTTAGCCACCAATCATCATGTGTTCAGGGCAGAGTAAACCCACTGTTCTCAATTGCATGTTGAAAAAATTTTAAAAGGGGTTTCAATGGGGACTATTGTATTAAAATGAACCCCAAACACTGAGGAAATTCTATGAAATAGAATGGCCAGCCTTCGAGGTCAGCTGGCTCTTTAGATGAAGGATTGGTCTGGGCGGTCTGGAATGTAGTCACAGGAGACCCTGGACACCCAGATCAGTTTCTCTACATAGACTGATGGTTAGAAATTGCTCAAACCTTTCCACCTTGGGTTCGGTTCTGAGTGTGCAATAAGGGGCAGAGAAAAGTTTTAGTAGCAGAAGTAAAGTGGTAGGCAGGGCAGCAGCAGGCTAAGGAGAGGCAGGTAGAGTAGGATCAAGCAAAGAAAAAAGAGACAGGAGAAAAGAAGCAGGTCCCTCAGAAGGAAGTTAAGCCTCCTGAGGAAGTCTCACCACTTTTACCACCTCCATCTGAGCCACAGGCAGCACCAAGTGCTCCTCCTACTAGCCTAGAAGATCTGAAAAGTCTGGAAACACTGCCTCCCTCTGTCTCTTGTTGGCCCCCGAATTACCTGAACCTCCAAAATACACTCCTCAGGAGGAGGAATGGGCCCAACAAGAAGAACAAAAGAAGGTTGGTGGATACTCCCAGATCATAGTTGTCTATGTCCCAGAACAGTTACCCATAAGGTAGTCCTCCAGCAGCATGAACTTACTCATTTAGGAAGACTGCTGTAGAATTTTGTTAGGTAGATATTACCTAATTGCCTATCTTCCCTCCTTGTGTGCCACAGTTTCTAAGCGTTGCCTCCTCTGTGTGCAGAACAATGACAAACAGGGTCCTGTGGGACTGATAGAAGTTCAGCGCTGTGGGCAAACTCCCTTTGAGGACTTAGAAGTAGACTTTACAGAAGGAAATAAATACCTACTAGTCTTTGTTTGTACTTTCTCAGGCTGGGTCAACACATATTCCACTCTCACGGAAAAGGTGAGATAAGTCACGAAGGCATTTCTAAAGAACATAATTCATCAGTATGGAATGCCTCTGACCATAGGGTCTGATTGTGTCAAAACTTTGTAGCAGAAATAGTACAACAGATAGCTAAGGCTTTAGGAATTAGATGGAACCTACATACAGCTTACAGGCCTCAGAGTTCAGGGAAAGTAGAGCGCATGACTTGGACTCTAAAGCAGGGTGTGGCTAAGCTATGCCAAGAGACAACCCTACCATGGGCAGATATCTTGTCTCTTGTACTCCGGTGAGTACACTGTGCCATGAGAGCCAGAATAGGTTTCTCTCCCTTTAAAATTCTATATGGTGGACCCCTTCCCTTAATTCAGCCAAAGGGGGATTTGGGGAAAATAGGAAACTAAGAAATACAGAAGCAACTACAAGGACTTGGAAAAACTGTCTTTGAGGTCCATAGATCAGTTACTGACTGACTACCTATTTCTTTGGATCAGCTGTACATCCTTAAAAATCTAGAGAACAGGTTAGGGTAAAGAATGGAAAAAGAGCCCCTTCAGCCAATTTGGAAGGGACACCCTGCTTTAGAGTCCAGTTCTTGCTTTCTTCTCTTAAAGACAAGATGCTCTGGTATTTCTGAATAATCATTGGTTTTATCTTTCTAATAATTCTCATTTTGTCTTTTTATGAGTGCCCCTGGAACCCAAGGCTAATCCCAGGAGGAGAACTCTTCTGCCCTTACTGGGACACAGAAGCACCATAAAATTACTGCTTCCTACACAGCAAAGGAATAATATGAAGCTAAGGCTATTTTTTTTTTTTTTTTACTGTTACTGAACTCTCTTAATCTGGACTCTCAGGTCTACACTCTACCTCTTGAGAGCCTCCTGAGTCCTCATTATCTCTACCAAATGCTTAATTTCATCCTGTCCCTCTTAAATGAGCAGTTCAGCTAACCCTTCTCCTTATAACATTTGGCATTACAGCAGGGGTTAGCACTGGAATAGGGGGACTGGTAACTTCCCTCTTCTACTATCAAATCTTCTGACCTAAATCAGCTAAATCCAACCAAAGGTTCTGCTGACTTAACAGTGCAGCTCATCTTCACATGGCTCAGGGTCCTAGCCAGCAGCAGCACACAATTATGTTGGGTGACAGACACCAGAGGAATATTACCCGAAAGCTAGAGATGAAAGATCCATGATGGTTACAATCATTGACTTGTCATCATGCTCATAGCACCAAGAGTAGGTGACACCAGAAAAAGGCAGATGGACCCACAGAAGCTCGGTTCACAGGCCCAGGTTGATGATACACACACCACGGGAACATAGAATATTTATTATGCACATGATTACAATATCTGGGAAGAACAGGAAAGGCCCTTCATCAAGACAGACCTGCTTTGACGGAGTCAGAAAAGGAGACTGGCTTTGTGCTTTATTATTTTCAAGGTGATGGGGGAGGGAAGGAATTCTGCTTCCAGGGGCCTGAGTGGTTTCAATATCCCAATAACATCTAGAGAGAGAACCATGATTTCTTATCATATTTCCTGTGTGTAGCAGATGGAGAAGAGGCAAAATAAGCCATCAGTTGTCAGCAGCCAAACAAAAAAATAAAATAGAGTATGACTATTTTACTTAACAGCTACACAAAATGTGCAAAAGTTCAGATAAAGTGTCATTTTGTGTGTTAAAAAAAAACAGATCTACAGAAAATATGAAGAATAATTATCAGTAAAATAATGAGGATGAGAATGATGAAGGTGATCATGATGATGATGATGATGATGGTGGTGATGGTGATGGAGGTAGTGACAGTGATAATACAATTGGGTAACAGTAACTCTCTGTTCCAAATTCTTTGTTGTAATCTGTACTTTATCCAAGGTCACCAGGTATTAGAAGGCCTTGTGTCAACTTAAAGTTGGGCTTTTGGGGTTTCAATTTTATAATGACAGCCAAGGAGAAGATGCCTGCTTTCTTTGCATATAAAAAGTCATTGTGTGTGCACAACCTCCATATCTATAGAAAATGGGAGGAACAATTTTAAGTAAGAAAATGGTAATGATGATGATTAAGATGATGCACAATGGGGCATAGGGAGACTTATATAATACTTCAAACAATATACATTTCTTTTAAAAATATATTTTATTGATTTTTTTTACAGAGAGGAAGGGAGAGAGATAGAGAGTTAGAAACATCAATGAGAGAGAAGCATCATTGTTTCTGGTCTATTTGGTTTAATTTTCATATTGCCTAATGCACAGATTCGTGCACTGGTGAGTTCCCTTGATGTGCCCTGCAGGGATTGAGTCAAAACCGGCAGTCCAATGCCACCTGCTGCTCCTACTCATCCAGGCCCTGCTGTGCCTGTCACCACCATTCAGTAGTCTTACTGCTGCTCCTAGGGATGTGCCATCAACCAAGGTACATGCCCTTGACTGGAATCGAACCTGGTCAGTCCGCAAGCTGAAATTCTATCCACTGAGCCAAACTGTCAGGGCACAATATACATTTCTTTAAAAAATAATCACACACATTAGGAAAAAACATTGTTTTTTCTAGTGAAGGCCAAGAAGGAAGTGCAGGGTGTGATAGAGAAGGCTTGTGTAACTATAGAAAATACACAGATTGAGACAGGGTTTGGTCTAATGAAATTATGGCTCCTTATACAGACAAACAGTCACCATGGTTCCTCCAGTGAGGGGTGTCCACTCTTACCTCTAAGTATTGAGAAATTTCATGAAAGGGACCCCAATGAATTAGGCAGATTTAATTTTTATTTTATCATAAATTAAATAGCACCAGAGGGGATTGCTGTTAGGAAACTAACCATAATCTGGACATGGCTGTGAAACTGGGTGAAGTGAGGAAACTGGACTTGTTTGAGACATGGCAGAAGTATGCCTGGTGTTCATGGATAAATAGTTACTGGACGTATGGATTTAAAGCCTCCTCCAGTGAAGGCCAAGAAGGAAGTGCAAGGTGTGATAGAGAAGGCTTGGGTAACTATAGAAAATACACGGATAATTATGAGCAGGAGTTATATTTGTATATATAAAAGCCTAAGTGTCCATTTGACCAGTCCCTATGACCTGCACTGACCACCAGGGGGAAGATGCTCAATGCAGGAGCTGCCCCCTGTGGTCAGTGCGCTCCTACAGCAGGAGTGCCTCTTAGCTAACCACCAGATGTCAGGCATGGGGCTCATGGCTGGCTGCCACAGTCTGGAGACACAACAGAACAGCCGCAAGACTACTGAATGGTGGTGACAGGCATAGCAGGGCCTGAATGAGCAGGAGCAGCAGGTGGCATAGGACTGCCGGTTTTGACCCAATCCCTGCAGGGCACACCAAGGAACCCCACCAGTGCACGAATCTGTGCATTAGGCAATATGAAAATTAAACCAGATAGACCAGACGTCTTCCAAGTGAAGATTCCTGGACTTGGGGAGGTGTTATCTTCTAGCAGAGACACTGTGAGGATGTGCATGTAGGAAACAGGGATCCCCTTTCCACCAGTTTGCAATGATAAGTTCCTTATTTCTCTTCATCCCTAACTGCATGATCTTTAATGATTTTATTTCTAACTGGAAGCCCAGTGCTTGAAATTTGTACACAGGGAATGGGAGAACCCTCAACCTGACCTGCACCATCTGGGGGATGTCCGACTTGGGATCTGGCCTAAACCGGCAGTCAGACATCTCTTTTATAATACATGACCACTGGCTCCTAACCACTCACCTGCCTGCCAGCCTGGTCACCCCTAACCACTCTGCCTGTCTGCCTGATCACCCCTAACTACTCTGCCTGCCTGCCTGGTTACCCCTAACCCTTCTGCCTGCCAGCCTGATCACTCCTAACTACTTTCCCCTGCTGGTCTGATTACCATTAACTGCTCTCCCCTGCAGGCCCAATCACCCCTAATTACCTCTGCCTTGGCACCTGCCACTGTTGCTTTGTCCAGAATAACATCCAGAAGACATTCAGTCTATCTGGTTTAATTAGCACATTACCCTTTTATTAGTATAGATAATTCCTGTTCATAATTATTTTTGTATTTCCTATAATGACACAAGCTGTTTCCACCATGCCATGCACATTCTTCTGGGCCTTCACTAGAAGAGGCTTTAAACCTATAGGCCCAGTAACTCTGTCCATGAGCATCAGGCATATTTCTGTGATGTGCCTCAAATAAATCTAGTTTCCTCCCCTACCCAGTTCCACAGACACCTCCAGATTTATGGTTAGTTTCCCAGCAGCACTCCCCTCTGGTAGCAGAACTTGCTCCAGTCCCTGCAGCTGTTGTCGCCATTTATATGGACATTGTAGGCTCAGCATTTTCTCGGAGTTATTTGCAAAATTCAAAAAAACAGTTCCCAATAAAGAAAATATTGTTAAATTACTCTTGGTTAAAATTAAAGTATTTCTCTCCTAAAGATTCCATAGAGAAATTTAAAACACAGATATAAATATGAAGAATATATTTCTAAATCTTAAGTCTGATGGGAAAATGTAAAAAATTATACATTAAGGACATTATATGTTTGTGGGAGAACCCAGCACCCTCAGACCAGATTGACCTACCAGGTGAAGGACAGAAGGAGGCTGGGAGTGAGGGATTACACTCAGGGTTGAGGTTTCCTTTCCTGTGAGAAATTCTATGGTGGGAATTATCTTCACTCCCTCCCTCTGAGCCCTAACATCACTGGTAACACTAGACTGAGAAAACATGTCAATCTCCTTCCATCATCATTTCAACATAGGAATGATTCTGAGTTGTGCACATTTATGATTACTATTTTTATTTCTTTTCTTTTATCCACTTAAAACCACTACTTTTTTGGATGTAAATATTTGGGTCTCTGCAAAAGGAAGAGTTTTCATAGTGAGCTGTAAACAAAACCCACCAAACTTAAAAAATCCAGATCAAGAACTTCTCATCTGCCTGTGCTTGGAGGTAGTTTCTCAGATAAAAATAACATCATAAATCAAAATATATGATAGTTATAATAGCTGTTATTTATATTTTTTCACAACAGTAGTGAGTTTTTCTATAAAATTAAATTGAAAAAAATTGAAAATTGTGGATACAATAAGGTTTTGAAAATCAGAAATGGTTTGAGCAAATGTTAATCATTTTCACATCTGTTTGAAAGATGCACGATAAATTAAAACTGTAACCTACTCATCTAGTCCACAGTTTCCTCTTATGCTCAGAAAGTTTGGGCTATTTTTTATTTAATTCCAATGTGCTTCATGACCCATGTAGCCCCCTTTCCCTGACTTATATTCTGAGTGAGGTCAAAGGAAAAGATGCCCCTATACAGGCCCCAGAATGACCAGTGAAGCCAGAATTCAGGCCCTAACTTTTAAGAAAGGCTGCCTCACATGCAAATTTCTCTTCAACTCCAGGATAAATCCTCTCCTGGGTTGTGAAGACTCACAGCTCTCCCCTCACCCAAGGCTGAGGTCTCTGGGAAGACAGAGCTGTGGTCTAGGAGAAGATGAGACTGCTGGGTCTTCTCCTGTGCCTGGTGACAGCCCCCCAAGGTGAAGATTTCACTGGTCAGATAGGTTTCATGGGATGGCTGTGAGTGCAGGTGACTGACAGGACTGATGCTTCTAGTCCCCAGGTGTCCTGTCCCAGCTGCAGTTTCAGGGGTGGGCCCAGGACTGGTGAAGCCCTCGCAGACCCTCTCCCTCACCTGCACTGTCTCTGGTTACTCCATCACAACCAGTGGTTACTGCTGGAGCTGGATCCGCCAGCCCCCAGGGAAGGGGCTTGAGTGGATGGAGTGCATAAATCATAACGGAGACACTAAGTACAGCCCCTTCCTCAAGAGCCAAACCTTGATCTCCAGAGACACATCCAAGAACCAGTTCACCCTGCAGCTGAGCTCTGTGACCACCGAGGACACGGCTATGTATTACTGTGTGAGACACACAGCAAAGGAAAGTCAGACACAAACCTTCCTGAGGGAAACAGCAGGGCTGGGCTGCAGGAAATGCTCAGGACACCAGGGGGCGTTCAGGACGCAGAAGACAAAAAGCAGCTCCAGGAGCAGGGCAGAGGGCTATGACCTTCCTGTTGGGGGCAGGGATTTCCTTTTAAACTCTCAGCTGCACTGAGGGTTGATAATCTCTCTTTCTCTGTGGCTCTAATTCCTCATATTCTCACTGTAAACACCTGAGAAGGAGGTAACTTTGCTGTTTTCAGATGACATATCAGCAGTGACGGGGTACTCCCCTTCACCAAGTCCCTTTATGTCAAGTAAATCTTTTCTTTACAAAGTAGATTGAGTTTTTAAAGAAATTAAATAAGTACTTCACATGTGTCTCACAGATCCTACTAGAAGTGTTTGCTCCAGAAGAATGAATCTTTTGTTTGTTTGTTTGTTTGTTTGTTTAGAGTAGGGGTGTTGAACTCAATCAGAGAAGGGGCCAAAATCTAAAATCCAGCCTAAATCGCTGGCCGAATGGTTTACTGAACAGTCATAAACTGTCATTGTGATGGAAACGCAGCGGAGTGCAGTGATGACAGCGCGGTGCGGGCCACATTGCAAGGCCTGGCGGGACGGATTTGGCCCGCGGGCCTTGTGTTTGACACATGTGGTTTAGAGAGTGGAAGAGAGGGAAAGGCAGAGAGAAACATCAATGTGAAAGAAACACATCCACTGGTTGCCTCCTGCAAATGACATGGCTATGGCCCCACCTTCACCTCACTCACATCTGAAGGACAGAGGAGAGCTCACACACTTCCCACCTTGCTTTTTTGATGGGTTTCCAAGAGCCATGAGAAATCACTTTGTCTGCAAAGCTTCTCCAAGTCATGCACTGCTCCCCAGACCTCTGTGTGTCTTCCCTGGTCCTCTCCTAATTGACAGCTCTGGTGACTGCAGAACCTCCTGACACATGGGTGAGTTTACATCAGACAGAGGAACCAATTCTGAAGGCAACTCACTTTATTAGGAAGTGCTGGATCTAGCCTCCAGTTATAATACTGCTGTGTGATCCCTCAGATGCTTTTAGGTCAAGGCTTTCTCTGGAAGTCTCTAATAAACTGAAGGTGTGCACTGAGCCATCCATGATAGAAGTAAAACAATTACCACCCATTCTTGGAATTCAGCCATGACATCTGTCTATCTAGGATGCAGGACACAGTAGTTTGGTTTCACTTGGAACCTGGAACTTGCATTAATTTCCAAATCAATACTTTATTGCCTGAATGAACTCAGATATTGTGTGTGGCTATTTCAGGAAAAAGGGATAAAACTTGAACTGGGTGAACAATGAGGAAATCAACACATAATGAAGTGACAATCCTGGTGGTGTGCCTGCTCAGACATGGTGAATTCTCCTCCATGGTAATTCATCCTCCAGACCTGGGTTTGCTTTTCCCATGTTGCACATTGATCCATGTAGCGATTATTTTCTTCCATATCTAATGTATGAAACTGGATCTACAACAGAGTCTAGAGAATAAACACAACAAAGGTGTCAGTACAGCTGCTTCACGTTCAGTACTAAACTCTCCTGAAGGAATAGGTCCTAGCAGCTCTTTCTGTGTCTCTATAGTTCATGCTTCTGGGACCCAGGGACCAACACAGAGGCTCCTCTGTCCCCAGCACTCGGCCCACTGGCTCTAGGCTCACACTCTGGTCTTATTTTATCTTCTGATCACTTTGGAGGGGAAATAGTGTCGGATGGAACTTCCCTTCTCCTGAACTTGAACTTCTTGCACTTTTACTACTTTCTAGCCTTGTAAGAATTGATTTCTCTTGGTTGTTGTTACTGGTAAAAGTCAAGGCATCGCTTTAAAAAAAAAAACAAAAAAAAAAACTTCTCTTTTTATATGTACAACAATTTTCTCTCCTGAGTCTTTCTACAGGTATCCTGCAGCAGGTGAGCCCAGTAGGGAGGGCAGAGGCCCAGATGTGGGGAGCACCCTTGGGCATGTCACACTCTGAAACGATGACCGTTATATCAGTGTCCAACCTCAGAGCTCCCTATATAGCAGGAGGCCATGCAAATAGGGCCCCATCTGTTCATAAAAATCAGCCCAGTCCCAGCACCCCAGGAGTTCCCACTCCCATGATTAGGACTGAACACAGACCACTCACCATGATGTTTGGCCTCAGATGTGTTTTCCTTGTAGCTATTTTGAGAGGTAATGTATGGAGAACAATAGACACTGAGTACTTGAGTCACATGAGTGAGAGAAACATTGTACGGGCCAGAGTTCCCTGATCAGAATGTCTCTGTGTTTTCAGGTGTCCAGTGTGAGGTGCAGCTGATGGAGTCTGGAGGAGGCTTGGTGCAGCCTGGGGGGTCTCTGAGGCTCTCCTGTGCAGCCTCTGGATTCACCTCCAGTAGCTACTACATGAACTGGGTCCGCCAGGCTCCAGAAAAGGGGCTAGCATGGATCTGTGCTATTACTCCTAATGGTGAGAGCACATACTACGCAGACTCTGTGAAGGGCCGTTTCACCATCTCCAGAGACAATGCAAGGAACGCGATCTATCTGCAAATGAACAGCCTAAGATCTGAGGACACGGCTATGTATTACTGTGCAACAGACACAGTGAGGAGAGGTCAGTGTGAACTTAGACACAAACTTCCCTGCAGCAGAGGCTGCGACCGCTAGGGGGCGCTCAGGGTCCCTGAACACAAGAACCATCCCAGCAGCACGTGCAGTTGAGAGGTTGGGCTGGTTTCCTGTGTGGTTTCCTCTCTGTGTCACAGTTTCCCTCAGGGAACCTCTGGATTCGTGATCTGCACTTACCTCTGAAGTCTCTGAGTTAGAAAGTTTGTTGTAAACAGAGAGAACTTTCTCATGTGTACATATTGCAGAGTGTCTTTCAGAAAATCTTTTGCCCAAAGGACTATAGATAATTAAATATGCTAAATCAGGTCCCCTAAATCTAAGCAGAAGCTGTGCTAATTCAACAGTGCTTCTCTACACAGTCCAGGGCCCCAGCCTGACAATAACAGGACACATGGATTCTGGACAGTGGCCACCACCGGCACATGAACACAAAGCTAGAGAAGACCCTTGGCATTGACTTGTCGTCACTCTCAGCACCAATCACAGGTGACATCATGAGGAGGAGGTAGAGGGACCCATAGTGCTTTGGAATAGATGCCAGGCTGATGTCCTACAGACAGAGGCACCTTGAAAAGGGCTATCTCTTCATGGATGTTTCTGTTGGGAGCAGGGCTGGCTTTTCAGCCAGTCAGACATTGTTTCCTGGCTGACATGGCTCAGTAGTTGGACATTGAACTATTGACCAGGAGGTTAGGGTTTGATTATTGGTCAGGGCATATGCTGGGTTTGCAGTCTTGAAACCTAGTGTGGAGTGTGCAGGAAGCACAAAATAGATGATTCTCTCTCATTGATGTTTCTATCTCCATCTCTTCCTCTCTGAATTCAATAAAAATATTTTTTAAAGAAAATATATTTGGACACCCCAGGTAAGAACACTGGTTTTATTGTGGATCAATACTGGGGGCAGGGAGGTTCCTACTCATAGGAGAGGCTTGTGTGGGTTCAGTGTACCACCTGCAGGACACAAGGGAGCATCCTCATTTTCTCTTAGTTTTTCATGTGCCAACAAGAATGAGGGATGAACCTTAACTTGTCAGCATCAAACATAAAAAATAGAGTCTGGGAAAGAACCAAGATGATGAAGTAGGTAAAAGCCTATATTCACCACCTTCCACAACCACTTGAAAATTACAACTAAAATACAGAATAATCCTCATTCAGAACAGCCTGAATACTGGCTGAATGGAAGTCATACAACTAGAGATGGAAAGAAGAAAGCACATTAAGACTGGTAGGAGGGCTGGAGATGAGGAATGGGATGGCCCAACACTAACATGTGCCCATATTTTAATCAGGAGGGAGATCGTCTCTGTGGAGGCTTCCTGTGGTGAGCTTGAGGTCCAAGCCCCACACCAGATCCCCAGCTCAGGGTTGCAGAGCTGGAAAGAAAAGTCCCTGTCACTTTGGGTTGTAAAAAACAATCAGGGTTTGTGGCTGTGTGACAAGAAGGCTGCAGGAATCAAAGGGCCATTGCAGGGACTCACAGGGTTCCACTTATTCTCTGCTCCTGGGCCAGGGGACTCAGACTTATACAGGAAGGAATTTGATTGTTTGGCCTGGGGGCAGAAACTCAGGGTTGGCTTTCTCCAAGACTGGAGTGTTCACAGGGGTCATTATTTCTTTGTTGGGACTTCCCCTGTTCATAGGCTGACTGGCAGCCATGCTTGAGTCTCCATCAGCATAGAATACACAGTTTGCTCCATCCTGTGATCCCCTGAGATCCTGCCCCATCCAATTTTCAGCCCCACCAAACTGTTAGTAGCAGCTTTTTCAAGCGAATGGCCTGTCCTGGCTCAGGCTTCAGGCTTACTAAAACCTCTCAAATAAGCTGCAGCTGAGGACAGCATGCTGAAATACACACATAAAAAGCTCAAGATAGGGCACTAACACCAGTCTGACATGCCTCACAGTTAGGCCTCACCTGGGCACATCAAAGTCCAATACAAATAGCAAATAGCAGACATATGCAGATCCTCTATATTTTCTGCTGGGTGGTCCTAGGCAGTTTCTGACTTTGTACCACCCTGGATGCCCAGACCCAGTGAACACAGTAGACAGTTTCAAACCATAGGAGATTACAACTCTACACAGCCACAGGTGACACATTGAATGGACAGACTCAGTGAGCACTAGAGTCCTACTAAAGCCAAGTCCTGTTCCAAAGGAGTGTCTCCTGAATAGCAGCTCTCCTATTGTAGTCACCACTTGTCCTCATAGCCAATTGGCCAGGAGGGCAAGTCCTCTTAGTGATGCCAACAGAAATCAAGGCTCAACTACAAGACTATGTACACTGCCCACACAGAGGTGCACCTAGAGTGCCCAGCTCAGGTGACTGGGAAAGCTGAACCACTGGGCTCTACAGGACACCTACTATACAAGGCCACTCTACCAACTGCAGGAGACATAGCAGCTCTACTCAATACATAGAAACAAGCACAGTGAAGGAGCCAAAATGGGGAGATAAAAAACATCCTCACAAATGAAATGAATGGAAACATGCAAACTACTGGATACACAGTTCAAAACCATGGTTATATTATTGTATAATTCAACAGAAGAGCAAAAACAAATAATAATCAAAACATATGAATATAATATTAGAACCCTCTGGGACAACTTCACTGGTTCCAACATTCACATTATGGGGGAGCAGAAGGAGAAGAGAGAACAAAATATTGAAAACCTATTTGAAGAAATAATAACAGAAAACTTCTATCTGGTGAAAGAAATAGGCTTACAAGTCTAAGAAGCACAGGTAATTCCAAATAAGAGGAACCCACAGAGGGCCACACCAAGACACATCATAATTAAAATGTCAAAGGCTGAAGACCAATAGAGACTCTTAAAAGCACAAGAGAAAAGCATCCCATCAGCTGATTTCTCAACAGAAACTTTGCAGGTTAGAAGTGAGTGGCAAGAATTATTCAAACTGATGAATTATAATGACCTAAAACCAAGATCACTGTACCCAGTAAAGCTCTCATTTGGATTTGAGGATCAGATAAAGAGCTTCACAAAAAAGAAAAATAACTAAAGGAGTTCATCACAAGCAAAACAGTATTATATGACATTTTGACGGATATTCTTTAAGAAGGTAAAAGAAGAGGGAGAGGAAGAGAAGGAAAAAGAAGAAGAAGAAGAAGAAGAAGAAGAAGAAGAAGAAGAAGAGAAGGAGGAGAGGTAAAATATGAACAATAAAATGACAACAAATCAACGATTTAACATAATAATAGAGCAATATGCAAATTAAGCACCACTTCTCTACACAAACCACCCCCACCAGCCAATCAGAATGAGTATGCAAATTAACCTAACAAAGATATTGGTTAATTTGCATATGCAGAGGGTGGTAGGAGTGAAGACTGAAGACAGCATAGAAGGAAGACAGAGGGAAAGTGGAAAGCAAGGTGTCTCTGGCTGCTGGCAGTGTGTGTGGGGCAGGGCAGGGCAAGGTGCACAGTGGCATCCAGAAGCAGCACAGTGGGTCAGGTGAGTGGGGCAGGGCATGCACTGCGGTGGTGGCAGCTCATATGTGGCCATGGAGATGGTAGCAGAGGTGGCCACTGGGGCAGTGGGGTGGGTGGGAGGAGTGGCCGCAGTGGGAGAGGTGGGGGTGGGGGAGAGGTGAGGATGGCAGGAGGTTAGCCTGCAAGAAGTCATGCAGTAATATTCCTGCAACAGGTGCCTAGTTGAATCATAAAATCAAAATAAATAAACAAGAAACTAAAGAACAAAATAAACTGCTGAAAAAATAGAATCAGAGACATGGAAAGATGGAAAAGACTGAAAAATCTCAGAGGGATTAGGTGAAAGAAGGTGGAAAGAGATTAACCAAATGTCTCACTTATGGAGACAGACAGTAGGACAGTGAAGGCCTGGGGTGTGGCAGAACCTAGGTGGAAAGGGGAAATGGGGTGGGGGGGGCATCTGTAATATTCTCAACAATATTTTTTTAATAATAAACTCTGACTAATTATTTCACTAAAACCTACAAAGTTTTAGTAAATAAAAAGGTGCTACCAACCATTGTGGGTAGAAAATAGGTTTAGGTCTTTCAACAGAAGAATAATGGCCACCTGGAAGCACTGTTAAGAAACAATAACAGGATTTCCCAGATGCCATAGTTCAAGGTCAAGGGCAGACACTGACAACACTGCAAGGTCATCAGCTTGTTCTGAAGGACCTGGGTAAAATTTGTGCTTCCAAAGACCAGGAGTATTCTCAGGTGGGGGGGCTCTATTGGAGCAGGCTTCTAATTGGGCAGGGTCATGATTGGACATTTTAGTTGATGCCATGGGCACAATGCATGTATCCCTCAAATAGTCACACATAAAAACCCAATGCTCAAGGAGATGATGTTAGGAGGGAGGATATGGGGATCTTCTTAGGTCTTGAGGATGGAGTTCTCATGAGTGAGATTCATACCCTTAAAAAAGAGGGCTGAGAACCAGATGTTGTGCTCAGTGTTTGAGTGTCAATCTATGAACCAAGAAGTCATGGTTTGATTCCTGGTCAGGCTAGATGTCCTGGTTGTGGGCTTGATCCCCAGTGTGGTGTGTAGTGGAGGAATCTAATCAATGGTTCCCTCTCATCATTGATGTTTCTATCTCTATCTACCTCTCCCTTCCTTTATGAAATCATAAAACTATATTTTATTTTAAAAGTGGGCTAAGGAAGCTCTCTTCGTCCATCCAACTTCTGAGATTACAGAAAAAAAAAAAAAATCAGCCACTAGGACCCAGGTCCTCACCAGAATCCCAACCTGCCCCCATCAAGTCTTGGATTTTCCAACCTGTATACCTGTGAACTCCCCACTCTGTGCACTGTGTCACAGACCTAGAAACAATGGAGTGTGGTGTCATATGACCATCAGGTCTGACCCTGGAGTTTCACTGCTGCATTGGTTGTTCAGAGTACATCCTCTGTGTCTCCCCCCGTGCCCCCCAGTGATGGACCAGAACAGCGTTTCTCTGATGTGTCCTTCAAGAGACAAAGTTTCCTGGAAGAAGGTCAGGGGAGGCTCTGACACAGCTGTGGTGAAAAGGCAGCATTAGAGCAGGAGGAAGGAATGAGCCCTTTTGGTACCTCCCACATCAGCACAGAGAAAGGCGAAGGGTCACTGGAGGTGAAATCTGTAAATGCCTGGTCCTCCCAGTCACCAAGTCACAGGAAAACGGCTGATGCCCTCCTGATGCTGTGGACACCAAGGCCACATGGTAGGTCCTTTGGCCAAATGGCTTTAAGGGTGCATTTAGGTTTGACCATTTTAACTGAAAGATGTCATTCTTCCAAACTTTCCAGAGATTGTCTGTAATAATGACAGTGGGTACTAGAATCCTAGTGGCTCGCTACAGAGCATTGGATATTCCTGTGATGTAAGCCTGTGGATGAGTCACTTGTAACTGTTGGTCACCCATTGCTGGGGTAGGGTGAAGAGGCTGAGCCCAGAGAGTGTCTGAGGCAGATAAAAGACTCTTAAGTATGCAGGTTCCTTTTCCCCCTACCTCTCTCTCTGCTCTGATAGACCCACAACCACCAAAGGACTTGGGCAATGGTTATGTCTGGAAAGCACAGAACAGACTTGCAGGGCCCTAGTTTTGGGAGCTGGAGGTGGTGAGGAAGCTCTCTCTGGATATGGACACGTGGACCAGGACACAAGAATAATTTACTCTGAGCTGGAATATCCTGGCCCTGTGGGTGGGACATGATTTTAAATTATCTAGGGTGTAATGATGATGGTGGTATTAACAACAGCAGCTGCACTGAAGCACACAGACTAGCCACCCTCCTGATAACTGGAGGTGCTAGTCATTTGGAGCCCAGGGGACTGACTGTCCACCCAGGGACTCCCCTCCTTTGTCCCTAAGAGGAAGAGCCCATGCAAAAGGGGAGTTCCTTCTGCTGATAAGCCAGAACCAGCCCCTGTCCCTGCACCTCTTGGAGAGCAGCCTCACCCCCGGGACCTGTGGTCTCCATTTGCCCCAGGAATCAACTCAGAGGAAGCACCATGAAGTGTGATCTGAGCTGGGCTCTTGCTTTCATGCTCTTATATGGTAACTTTATGGAGAAGCTGGGCTTTGTGAGTTTGTGTGAGTATGTGTGGTCCCAATGACAATTCTCCTGTCTGCAGGTGTCTAGTGTGAGGTGAAGTTGGTGGAATCTGGGGGAAGCTTGGTGCAGCCTAGGGGGTCTCTGAGACTCTCCTGAAAAGGCTCAGGATTCATGTTCAGTGACTATTATATACATTGTATCCTACAGACTCCAGGAAAGGGATAGGAGTGGGTAGGTTTTATAACAAAGCCGACTGTCACGCTGTAAGGTCAGGCCTGTTTCTAACTGCCCGGGAAACGGCCAAGAGATTGCAATCTCAACCTTATGTTTGCATTTCCCCAGGCCAATTTGCCAATTTCCCCAGGCCACCTGGGTGTGGTTTCTGCCTATAAAAGCTTGTAACTAACCTCTGTTCAGGGCTCTCAAGCGGCAGTCTTTTTCTGGACTGCTGCTTGTGGGTCCCTGCGCAGCGCTTGGAATAAACCTCCTGCTCTTTGCATCAAGACTCGGGCTCTGCGTTTGATTTGGGGTCGCCGCTCATCCTTTGGACCGGGGGTCTTTCAGGCCTTACATTCTGGGGGCTCGTCCGGGATCGAGCGGCCCCCCCCTCAAGCCCAGAACCGATCTTGGAGGTAAGAAGGGGTACCCCGAAGTTGTCTGTCTTTGTCTTGTGTTCTGTTATCTGATCTGGTTCTGTGTGCGCACTTCTGCAATCTGATCTGGTTCTGAGTTCGCAGCCGTTCGGCAACTCGTGAGAGTGGCCGAACAGTGGTCGGTAGACGTGTCGGAGGGCCACAGGCTGCAACCCTGGGGGACGCCCCAAGGGTGCAGGAGAGCCAGGGGCGCCTGGCGGTCTCCTATCAGGTGTCGGGTTCGAGTCCCAGCAATCAGGTGTCGGGTTCGAGTCCCGGCAATCAGGTGTCGGGTTCGAGTCCCGGCAATCAGGTGTCGGGTTCGAGTCCCGGCAATCAGGTGTCGGGTTCGAGTCCCGGCGAAGATCGGATAGGTTTGGTTACTGAGACAGTGAGGCAGCCGCGACCGTCTGCCCCAATCGTGTGTTTGTGGAAGAGATTCAAGTGGAGACTCCTTGGCTCTGTCTGGGTTTGGAGTCTGGAGATTCCCTGGTTCTGGTCTGAGTGAGTGTTTTGTGAGTGTTGAGAGAGTGCGGCCGCAATCGAGTGTGTGGGAATTGGTAAAAGTGCAGTGTTTTTGTTTTTACTCTTTTGGATTTGTTTTGGAATTATTTGTTGCCTAACAAATTGGGAAGAAAGAGAAAAATGGGGCAAGGAAACTCAAAGGAGAGTCACCTAAGTCCCCTTGAATGCATGGTTAAAAATTTTCCGGACTTCAAAAAAACGAGGTGAAGGCTATGGTGTTTCCGTAGATGCCTTCACTCTCCGGAGACTGTGAATTGGAGTGGCCGACATTTGGGGTTGATTGGCCTTCAACAGGGACCCTAGACATGGGGCCCTACACGGGAGTCCGGCGGATAGTCTATAGGAGCCCTGGGCATCCGGACCAAATTCCATACACTGATATCTGGATTGATGTTCTTTTTGATAACCCCAAATGATTGAAGGAGTGTGGTTGTCTCCTTGACAAAGGAAAATTGGGAAAGAGACCTCCCAGGTCCATCTTACTCACCCGGCCACAGGCGAGCAGAGAGAAAGAAAGAAACCTTTAATTTGTTTAAAGCTGAGTGCTCTGGTGGCAGCACCGCCTTCGTCACCTGGGACCCGTTTGCTCCCTGCCTCCATTCACCTCCAGGAGTTGAGTAGCTGGAGGCAGCAGATAAATTAAAAACTGGTTTCCCAAGTCATTGTAAGCAGCTCTTGAAATTCCCCGCCATGAGGCGGAAACTAGATGGTAATGGTAACAAGTTTATGTGAATGGTGGTGAATGGCCCTGAATGGCCAGGAGTCTTTAGGTAAAGAATGTGTTCATTTGCATTTGAATGCTGCTCCAGCAGCCCACAATGGTTAGTCTTTGTCATTGGTATCAGCTAAGCAGAGTCATATAGCTACTTAAGTATGAATTGTGATTGAGAAATGTAATGTTGCTTGCCAGCTTTAAAGGTTCAAAGTATAAATTGAATTAGGAAAAGTTAATTGCAGTAACTAAATGCCTAGAATATGGCAGGCTAAATTGTATTACATGTGATAAGAATAAGCAGTAATGATCAAAGATCTCAAGGATTGGTTTATTCTCATTTGTCAGATGAGGAATCTATATGATGCTTGAGCCCTATCCAGGTTGTTTCATACAGACCTAAGTAAATTTGTTGGGAATTTATAGTGTGCCTCTTGTGAAGAAGTAGGCCAAGTCATATATTTTTCTCTTAATGTAGAAAAAGTGATAGCCATATTAATTTGTTTTGTTTTGCTTTTCTCATATGCCATTGTTATCATTTCTAATTGCATTGTAAGCTTGAATTTGGGCTTGTACCTGCATCTTGTATTTTGTTTAAACTTTGGGAATAATTTTTGGTTTCAGTCATGTGTGACTACTTTATAGATTTAAGTAGACTTCAATAATTTATTTAGAATTGTGTTAAAACAATGTGAAACTGCTTGGACACTTTTCACCGTGTTCTATTAGGGGATTTAAAGGCACAGTTAAAATTCTCCTGTGCCCCTTTTCAGTCTTATCAGAATCTGAGATCTTTATCTGTAGGAAGAATGTGGCAGTTTAAAATTCAAGCGGCTATTGGGAACAGAGTGCTAGACCTGCTCTCTCTTCCCTCTGCCTTTCCTAAATATTCTAAAATAATGGTTATAGATTTTTGAAGGACATAGGAAGAAGGTTTAAGAGCTAATGTAAAATAGTGAAAGTTTTTATAAAAGTTGTACATGTGATGAGAAGGTAGGGAGCGACTGACAGTCTATCTCCAGATTCTAGTGGCCGGCCTCAGAGGAGCCGCGCGTCGGCCCACCAATTTGGCTAAGGTAAGGGATGTCCTTCAGGGACCCACGGAGCCTCCCTCGGTCTTTCTTGAGCGACTAATGGAAGCATTCAGGCGGTACCCTGCGACCGAGGGGCAGCGGGCTTCGGTGGCTATGGCCTTTATTGGCCAATCTGCTTTATACTTTGCAGGACTTAGTTAAGGAGGCAGAGAAGGTGTAGACAGGAGAAGAATCTCACGCGCATCTTGGCAGCAGTGGTAGGTGATAAGGGAGAGGTAAGGGTAGAACCTGGGCGATCGCCTCCCACTCGACCGAGATCAATGTGCCTACTGTAAAGAAAAAGGACACTGGAAGAGAGAATGCCCAAGAAGGCAGAGGAAGGAGAAGGAAGCCAAGACCATTTTGGCCTTTCATGAGGACAGTGACTGAGGGGGACGGGGCTCGGAACCCCTCCCTGAGCCCAGGGTAACCATCCAAGTGGAGGGGAAACCAGTAGAATTTCTGGTGGACACAGGAGCACAATAAAAGCTCCCTTGGGGCCGATATCTAAGAAAACTTCTTGGGTCATTGGGGCCACCGGTAATGAGCAATACCCGTGGATGACTAACCGGACTGTAGATCTTGGGACTGGGACGGTCACCCACTCTTTCCTTGTGACCAAAGTCTCTTGTTGGACGAGGGGAGAGTCCAATTCGGGGCCCCCGTGACATTGAATCCTGCCTCTCTGCTACCAGAAGCAGACTTGGAAAAGAGAGAGATTCTGCATTCCTGTCAGAAGATATTGGCTGAAGAAACGGGGGCCAGGCGGGATCTCAGAGACACACCCCTACCCGGGTCCCCCCTCATTTGGTTCACAGATGGCAGCAGCTACCTCTCGGACAGGAAGAGGAGGGCAGGAACCGCGGTAGTCAGCACGGATGAGGTAATCTGGTCTAGCAGTCTGCCAGAAGGCACCTCAGCACAGAAGGCAGAACACAAGCCCTCAGGTTGGCTGAAGAGTCAACATCTACACTGACAGCAGAGGCCATACATGCCCCCAAAGAAGTTGCCCAGGGCACCAAAAGGGGACGTCTGAGGTGGCGGAAGGGAACAGGAAGGCAGATGTTGAAGCAAAACAGGCTGCCTTGGGACTAAACATCCTGCCGCTAGCAAAAGTCTCTTTGGACCCTCCTAAGTCCTTCTCTTACTCCCCAGAAGAGGAGGGGGAGATGGCCAGAAAGCCTGGCAAATACGTCAAGGATAAGTACGGGGTCTGAAAGGATAAGGCAGGTGAGAAGATAATCGTCCCTGAAGAAATGGCAACACCGCCTCACCCATCTGGGTCCAAAATCCGAAAGCTCACCTCCCTAGCCGAGAGAACTGTCGCTAGCTGCAAGGCATGCTGCAAGGCATGAAATTCCCACCCCTCGAAAGGGAAAGGGGAAATAGGCCGGGCAGCTATTGGGAAGTTGACTTTACGGAAGGAAGTCAAGCCGGCCCGGTAGTCTTTAGCGAAACGACAACCACAGTAGCCAAGATTGAAGACATCTTTCCCCGGTTTGGAGTTCCAGAGATAATTGGTTCAGATAATGGGCTGGCATTCATCGCCCAGGTAAGTCAGGGAATTGCCAAGGTGCTGGGGATTAATTGAAAATTGCATTGTTCATGTAGACCCCAAAGTTCAGGACAGGTAGAAAGGATGAATAGAACGTTAAAAGAGGCTATGACTAAATTATCCTTAGAAACTGGCGTGACAGACTGGACAGTCCTCCTTCCCTTTGCCCTATTCCGTGCCCGGAATACGCCCGGGCCCCTGGGAGTAACCCCTTTTGAAATCCTTTTCGGGGCCCCACCACCACTCACTGTTGACCCGTGGACAGAAACTCACGCCCCTCAATCCCTGCTCGCTAGGTTGAAGGCGTTGGAGACGGTCCAAAAGGACGTGTGGGTCCCTTTGGCTGACCACACCAGTTCCAGGTTGGGGACTTTGTCTACGTTCATCGTCACTGGACAGCCAACTTGGAACCCCGGTGGAAGGGACACCCACCGCCATCAAGGTAGACGGCATCGCCTCCTGGATCCATGCCTCTCATGCCAAACCTGCACCACCGCCTGACGAT